GCCAGACGTTCTCAGCCCGGCCTCAGCTTGCCACCCTCTGGGAGGCTCCACTGAGCGCCACGGCGCTGGTGGTCCTGGGGCAGGGGCTCTCTGATCTGCCCCAGGCCCTCAGCAGCCACCAAGGGTAGTGACAAACCAGAGGCCACAGCAGAACCAGTCCTTGTGTTTGGTGCTACCAACAATTTGACTTCTCCACCCAAAGTCCCCCCTAGGCACAACAGGACAGCAAGGCCTCCTCCTCCACCTGTCTGGCAGTGTGGCTCTATTCTCCTTAGTGGGGGGACAGGAAAGCCACGGGAGACAAAAGCAGAGCTGGCTCCCCAACACCCCCCCGAGCCCCTGGCTCCATGGTAAGACCACAGCTCAGATCACCTGCTGTAGCAGACAGGGCAGCTAGCTGTCTCACACGGTCCATAGCCAGACCCCCCAAGGGGCCAGGCCAGCAAGGGGAGCATTTGTCTTCTGGGCAGCGCACTGACTCCGGCCCCTGTGCCCCAGCCCTGCACAACACAGGCTACACCTGGAGCTTCACTGAGCTCTTGTGGCTGTACCTTCCCCAGGCTCAGCTGGGAGGAAAGGCACATCTCCAGAGAGCCTCTGGGACACCCCGGGTGCCACCCGACCTGAGCTGCGTCCAGGCACCAGCAGTCACTGGGCTTTGCCACGGGATTCTGGATGCTATGGGGAGGGAGGGATGGTGGGAGGGAGGGGAGAGGAGGCTGCTCAAAGGAGAACCACAGGCCACAACCTTCCTAAAGGCAAGAGGCATTGCAGACTTGTTCTGACGTGGCCGACTCACCAGGCACTGTCTTGTTCCAATCTTCCTTCAGAATGACCACCTGGCAGAGGTGAAGCCCAGCAGTACTTCCTGGAGATGCGGAACCAGGTCCCAGGACCAGGAAGAGAGCTGGGCTGTCTTTAAACACAAGCCCATGGGCCGACAGGGCCCTGCTTCTCTTCCCTGACCTGTTCAAATGTCTATTACTCTACAAGTGATTTGAGTTCCCATATTTTTCTGGTTCTAGGGCTTGAACTCAGTAGTTCAGTTCTGCTCAGCTTGCTTGTTCATAGCTGGCACTTCACCAAGTAAGCCAAGTCTCCAAGCCAAGCACATGCTTATTAATGGAAATAGAATCTTACAGCCTAGCTCTCCAGGTCTCAGCCTTTTGAGAAGCTAGGATTACAAGCTGAGCAAACCTTAAAAGTGACTAGAGGCCAGACATCGGTGGTCAGGCCTGTAATCCTAGCTACTCAGGAAGCTAGGATTGAGGATCAGTCAGCCCAGGTGGGGAAGTCCATAAGACTCATCTCCAATTAACCATCCACAAAACTGGAAGTAGAGCTCTGGCTCAGAGCTTTGAGCAAAAAAGGCTCAGGAACAGTGCCCAGGTCCTGAGTTCAAGCCCCATGACCAATCCAAAAAAACAGAGAAACAACTAGAGACGTGGAAAGCAAAGTGACAGCCATCAGCCACTGGCACAGGGCTGTGCTAGGGCCTCAGCACCCTTTCCCATCAGTCAGCCACTGGCACAGGGCTGTGCTGAGTGCTGAGGAGACCTTGTGCCCTTTCCCCTACTGCTGTGGGAAGACTTGCTTCAGGGCATGGCAAGAAGGCAGGCCCCAAGGTCTGGCCTCCTGCACTCACTGCACAATACTGACCCCTTTTGCTCACAGGCCTTGGCTGGAGAGGTTTTTCCTTCCTGTCCAAGTAAAGCAGCAGCTAATTCTAGACACTAGGAAGCCAAGAGAACAGGAGACTGCTGCAGGCAAGTACTGGAGCCAAGCAACTCCTCCAGCTTCATGCCAGTGTCCTGCAAGCTAAGCAGGCCCGCCTGTCAGCCAGCAAGGGGGCCTGAGCACTGGACCCCTGTAAGCTGAGAGTAAGAGGGATGGCAGATGATACCTCTCATTAGTTTCCTGTATCTTGGCATCAGCATGTTTAGAATCCTGGTGTGCAGGGGGAGGGCCTGGGGCTGGGGAAGCAGGAGCAGGAATAGTGATTACAGAGCCTCCAAATGGCCGTATTCCTTGACCCAAGGCATCTCCGAGTCCCAGGCTGTGAAAGGCCATCTTGTTTCTCAACTGGCATAGGGAAGTGGAGTCCCCCCAAGTTTGGAAGGAATCCCCAGGGCAGAGCCAAGGCTTCCCAAGGCAGGCTCCCTGCTGTAACACGTGACACTCAGGAACTTACACCGATAGTCCACATGCCAGGAATTTTTTGTTGTTGGTCGTGGGGCTTGAACTCTGGGCCTGGGTTCTATCCTTCAGCTTCTGCTCTCGAGGCTAGTTTTCTACCACTTGAGCCACAGCGCCACTTCTGGCCTTTTCTGTTTATGTGGTGCTGAGGAATCGAACCCAGGGCCTCATGCATGCAAGGTAAGCACCCTACCACTGAGCCACCTTCCCAGCCCCAATTACTTCATTTTTAAAGGAGCCCAATGATTGCAAGAAAATATAAAAAAATTAACTACTCACAGTTTAAAACATTTTCTAAAACCAAACCCTGAAGTACTTCACAGATCCATGAAAACCATTAAAATTATTTTGAAATGGAAGGATAAAAATTCAAATTCAAGACAGGTGCTTGTGCCAGTAATCCTACAGGAGGCCGAGATCTGAGGATCGCAGTTCAAAGCCAGCCCAGGCAGGAAAGCCCGTGAAATGCTCATCTCCAATGAACCACCAGAAAACCAGAAGTGGCGCTGTGGCTCAAAGTGGTAGAGGACTCGCCTTGAGCTGAAGAGCTCAGGGACAGCGCCCAGGCCGACAGACCTCTCCCCCACCCAAAAAAAAAAAAATCGAATTCAAATCAAAGTACATTATTCGTATGTATAAAGTATCTCAATGAAATGCCATTTGTACAACATATACTAATAAAAAATGAAATGAAGGACTGGGAATGTGGCTTAGTGGTAGAGTGCTTGCCTAGCATGCATGAAGCCCTGGGTTCAATTCCTCAGTAAAACATACACAAAAAGCCAGAAGTGCTGCTTGGCTCAAGTGGCAGAGCACTAGTCGAGCAAAAGCAGCTCAGGGACAGTGCCCAGACCATGAGTTCAAGCCCCAGGACTGGCAAAAAAAAAAAAAAAAAGAGAGAGAGCCAGGTGCCAGTGGCTCATGCCTATGATCTTAGCTACTGAGGAGGCTGAGATCTGAGGATTGGGGTTCAAAGCCAGCCTACCCAGGAAAGTCCTTGAGACTCTTACCTCCAATTAACCACCAGAAAACTGAAGTGGCGCCATGGTTCAAGTGGCAGAGTGCTTGCCTTGAGTGAAGAGCTAAGGGACAGCGCCCCGGCCCAGAGAGCCCCATGACCAACAACAAAATTCTGCAAGTGATTTGAAGCTGCATGGAAATAAAACACTTGCCTACGTTGCAGTATTCCAGTATTCGTTGTGTGCATCTCCTTCCAATTGTTAAACTCTGGCAAAGCCAGTGACTTCCTAGGAAACATCGAGTTTCTGGAATGCTTATGATTTGTATTTGTACACTTTCTTTTTGGTAAACTTTACCTCACAAGGCAACTGCCTGCAACTGCGAGAGGAAGCGTCCTGCAGGCAGCATCGAGTGTGGAGGCCAGGCGGTGCGTGGCTGCGTCGGCCCGATCCGTCCACCTGTGCACCTGCAGATTCTCCAGAGCAAGGTGCCGGAGGCCTGAGCTCACAGCAGTCCCTCAGTGCTTTTACAAATCATCAACTCTTCCACAAGAGAGCTCTGGCCCTGCCCAGCGACTCGACCAGCACCGCAGCTGCACAAGCAAGGCGGGGAAGCATGCGAGTACACAGCTTGCTAAACAGGTTTGTTTATTAAGGCTTGTATTCTCCTAGAGGACAGCGTTCCGATGTAGTCCATGACTCGACAGGCAGCAACAGCTTGAGGAGGTGACACGTTAAGTACAAGTCTAAACGTCCACTCGGTCTTTTGGAGTGTTTCGGGAGTATCTGCTCTCTAGATAGGAAGGATCCTCTACAGCAGGTGCGTGCAGAATGCGTGGGGCGTGGGCGCAAGCACGCTTTCACGCGCAACTCCAGCTCCAGGTGGCGGTGAGATCCTCAACAGCCTCGTTCCACAAAACAGGACACACGTTTGTTTTCTAGATTTTTTTGATTTTTGCTTTCGTTTAGCCATTCAACAAGAAAAAAAAATTATAGACACACGGTGAGATTTACAGTTGCATTTTCCATCACACTGCACTGCCAGGCCCTACATTTAAAGCTTAGCATTACTGGTGTAAAAACGTAGGACGGCTTTAGGATTCTCAAGTGAGGAAAGGGAAAAGTTAAACATGACCTGCAATTACGAACGCCTGAGTGCTGAGCTAGTCTGCCCTGAGTCAGGGCAGGGAGGGGCGGGCAGCTCACTCTGCCAGGTAACGCACCAGAGGTCGGCCTTCCCAAAAGCGCAGTGTGGTCACCACATTTGAAAACGGGCAGCTAGCATTTTGGAAGGATGACAGACAGTAAACAGGGCAAACCAGCAGAATCAGGTGATGTCTCACCTTCCTACCAGCATTGAGAATAGGTGGCAGTCACCTTTCTGTTAGTGCTGCGACATTCCGACAGCACGTTCTAAACAATTCACGAGTGCTCTTACAGCTGCTCCGAGGCAGAAAAGGAGTAAGAAATGTAAATGACTGAATGTAAGAATGAGAACATAATTTCTGCCAAAATAAAAAATCTCTGGGATGTATTAGGTGTTTTGTTTTGTTTCAAAGGATGTTTATATTTCACACTAGGTCTGATAAGCTGACAAAAAATAGTCCTTTATTAGTGAGTTCTACAAGGAAGGTTATGATACATATAAAAGATAAAAATGAATGCAGATCCATCTGGCAAAAATGAACTACAAAGAGTAAAGACGCAAGCCCTCGACCCGCTCTGGACAACACGCTGGAGCTGATGCCAGAGGCAGCACCAAGCATACAGTTGAAAACTTGTTTCAAAGTCACTGTGAACCAGAAACACCGGTTTGTTCTTACTGTTTGTTTCGATTCTGCCGCTCCTATGGAGGAAAAAAAAAAAAGGAGAGGAAGTTAATTAAAACACTGAGCAATTCCGCCATGCAGGTGACCTGCCAGAAACAAGCCCGAGGCTACCCGAGTCCTAACCTGGCTGTGAGGCTGGCTCCCTTGCGCACCGCCACGGCTCGGGCTCTCGGGGGCTGCCAGGCCCCCCACAGACTAGGGTGGGTACAAATGACATGCCAGGTCCCAGGCACGCACCGGTCCCCTGCCATGCCAGCGAGCAGCTTACCCCTCAGGTCACTGTATAAACTCCTCTGCGCCAAAGGAAGCAACGAACACGGAAAGGGCTCTCGTCTCTTCTTTCATTTAAGCATCCCAGTGGCTTCTACGGACACCAAAATCTGTTCAGCTTGCTCAAAAGCAAGATCTGAATCACAAGGCTAAGGAAGGCCAGGACAAAGCTGCTGGGTGCTCCACAAAGGGCCAGGGACACAAAGGGAAAGGCTGAAGACTTGCTCACCATTCCTATGAACACAAAGTCTGGGACTTGCAACCAATTTCCCACAACTGCTGTCCCGGCCTCTGGCCAGTGGGTTTAGAAGTGCTTTGTGCTTCCCACCTAAACGTAGCTCTCAGCTAGGGAAGCCCATGACACACAGACTGGACTACTTGTGTGCCCAGCATGCTCATCCTAGATGCAAGCCAGTTGGAAAATCACAGGGCAAAAGTACACAACTCCAAGTATGGAGAAGCCAAGGTCTGAGGGTCACAGTTCAAAGCCAACCTGGGCAGGAAAGTCTATGAGACTCTTACCTTCAATTACCAAAATGCTGAAAGTAGAGGTATGGCTCAAGTGGTAGAGCTCCACCTTTGAGCAGTGCCCAGGCCTCAAGTTCAAACTCCCAGGATGGCAGCCAAAAAAAAAACACAAACTGACATCCTTAGACATCATCCTTAGAACAAGAAATGCTATTCATTTTTAATTTGTGCCAGTTCTGGGGCTATGAACTTAGGGCTGGGCACTGTCCCTGAGCTTTTTTTTTTTTTTTGGTTGGTTGTGGGGCTTTTAACTCTGGGCCTGGGCGCTGTCCCTCAGCTCTTCAGCTCAAGGCAAGCGCTCTACCACTTGAGCTACAGTGCCACTTACAGTTTTCTGGTGGTTTATTGGAGATTAGAGTTTCGAGGACTTTCCTTCCTGGGCTGGCTTTGGACCGAAATCCTCAGATCTCAGCCTGCTAAATAGCTAGGATTACAGGCGTGAGCTACCTGCGCTGAGCTTTTATGCTCAAGGCTAGTGCTATATCACCTGAGCCACAGTTCCACTTCCTGCTTTTTGTGATTAATTGGAGATAAAGGAGTCTCTTGGACTTTCCTGCCTGGGCTGGTTTGAACTGCGATCCTCAGATCTTAGCCTCTTGTGTAGCCAGGGTGATAGATGTGAGCCAGCAGTGACAGATTCAATCCTTATTCTTAAGTTCTCTCCTCTATTCCTCTACCAAGACTCCAAAGTCAAGCACACTGGCTGTGGCTAGAAGCCAAGCAGGATCAGGTCAGGGAACCTCAAAATCTCTAGCAATACATGTAACACACAACTGCCACTGTTTTAAGCAATGAAGAACTGGCTGGTTAAATCTATGGTAGCCTAGGACTTACATAGCTTCCCTCTGACTGTTAGTGCTTTCCTAAGAAACAAGCTATGTTTACACCTATAAGCTGGACAAGGAAACTGCAAAAACACTGTTCTTCCTATATTCTAGGTCATACCCAGCTTCCCCAAGCACAGCTCTGGTGGTGCCTGCTAAGGCTCCAGCTATTTAGCAGGTCACAGTAAGAAGAATGCAGTCAGACCAAAATGAGATTATCACCTAAAAAGTAATTAAAGAAAAAAAAGGGAGCCGTGGTTCAAATGGTAGTGTCTGTCTAGCAAGCATAAGCTCCTGAGTTCAAACCCTAATACAATACTGCTGGGTACAGCTGGCTCACGCCTGTAATCCTAACTGCTCAAGAGGTTGAGATCTGAGGATCATGGTTTGACTCATGCTCTTATCTCCAATTAATCAGCAAAAAACCAGAGGGAGAACTGTGGCTTAAATGGCAGAGCGCTAGCCTTGAGAAAAAAAAAAAAAAAAAAAGCCAAGGGACAGTGTCCAGACCCTGAGCTCAAGCCCCAGTACACAAAGAAGTAAATTCCAGAAATCAAAAAATGTAAATTCCAATGTACCCATTACACAGCAAAGTAGAGAAACTATCAGTACTGTGTTATTGCCAGTTATGTTTACATCATTGTACAATATGCTGCGTGTCTTTTTGATCTTGATGTTGTAAAAGTATGTCTTCCCCAAAGCAAGTGGTGTCCAGAAAGCAAAGGAGAAAAGTAAATGTACTACATTTAAGTAATAATAAAGACCTGAGATTTATTGAAAGGCAGTATGTCTTCAGCATAGTTGGGTGGCATTATGGGAAAAATGAGGCAAGCATCCTGCACTCAGTGTGACAATGGGAGGAACCCTCCCTCGCGGAACCACACACATCTGAACCACAGGTACTAAGGGTCTGTTTGAAAACTAGGACCATTTGAAAGTGATGAGGTCTCTCAGAGGTTCTGAGAGAACCCTGGGATCTCCCACAGTCCTGGCCCATGGCTACAGGTGCTACGTACAGCCTGTGAGAAGGAGCGACTGACGCTCTCCAACACTCTTCACTAGCCACACTAAACCCCTGGGACAAACCGAAGCGCAGCCACTGAAAGGAACGCCAAGAGTGGCAGCTCACACAGGGTAGCCTGGGCATGACTCCATCTGAGGACTGCCCCAAGCCCACCGCCATCACTCTACACAGCCCCGAGTTTACATAGATATTTGCATTTCCACCATATCTATAGCAAATAATCCATTTAAAAGTCAACAGTCAACTAATAACAAATCCAGGTTCTCACTTGTCACCTCCAACATGACATGGAACTCCAGGACTGAAAACTTTTAGGCCAGGGTATGGTTCAGGGAAGGGGCGCCGAGACCCTTCTTCCCCTCACAGCAGGCTGTTCAGTGGGGCAAGATGAAGCCCCAAAGTTCTCCAGGCGGTTCCAGGACCAGGGATGAGGGCAGAGGCCTGCAACTGCTGGGCACCACGCAGCTTTACCGGAGACCCACAAACAAACAGCACGGCCGTCCATCACCAAGTTCTCATGCACACTCCAGCTTTAAAAACATCAACCAAATTAGTGGTGGGTTTTTCTTACACCAAAGCTCACTGCCAAGTTTTGGCACCCAGGATACTCTATTATTGAAGTGAAAAAAGTGAGCACACAAATAAATGTCTGGTGATGTCTAAGATCAGACCTAACTTCCATGAACAATTATGCCTGTTCTGACCCTAGAGTCCAACTATTCAGCAGTCATGCCTGCACTGAAGTTATGCTGTGTACACAGCAGCGGCCCTGTGAGCGTGAGGGCCACAGGTCTGCTACCTTGGGTAGGCACACTCTATAATGCTGGCAGAACAACAAAATCAGCCAGCCACACTGCTCAGAAGATGTTCCTTCATTAAGAGATGCATGGCTGTTTTACTTTACACCTAAAACAGCTAATACGGCATTTTAGTTACTGGAAAACACAACACACTGCTAGCCAATCGCCAGTGGCTCACACCTATTATCCTAGCTACTCAGGAGGTTAAGATCTGAGGATCGTGGTTCAAAGCCAGCGGGGGCAGGAAAGTCTGTGAAACTCATCTCCAATAAACAACTCAGAAAACCGGCAGTGGTGCAGTGGCTCAAGTGGCAGAGAGCTAGCCTTGAGCTGAAGGACAATATTCAGTCAGGCCCAGAGTTCAAGCCCCATGACCAATAAAAACCACACTGCTTTCTTTTCCACACTCCTTTGCTATTTGAGATGATGGTGGTGCTGCAGGTCATCGAAGCACTACCACGTGGGCACAGACACATGCCTTTCTGCCCAATCAGTAAAGTCACTTGCTTCTCACAAGAGCAACTGCTTCTAACAGAGGATGGAGACGACCAGAACCCTGGCCACTACACACTGACATTCCACAAAATAAGCCAATACACCTCTCTGGCTACTTCTTGAATAAAAGGAAGCCTTACAGCGCATGTGAGGTTCTTGTTTCCCAGTTCTAGGACCAGCTCTGGGGCACCAGTTTGTTCTGAAGAGGAGAGGCACTCACTCGCGGCAGGCCCTGGGAGCATCACTACCTGTGTTTCAGGTGTGAGGACCAACGCCTGGTGAATGGATCTAACCACACCTAATATAAAATGTCTGGATTCCAAACCTGCTCCTTCCCCATCATTCTCTTAAGAGAGAGCATGTTGCGTTGGAATATTGGGTTTTTAAAAGAAAAATAGAAAAGCACCTAGGGCTAGCGTGTGCAACAGTTTAAGGGTGCTCCCAAGAAGGACACACCCTCAGGTGGGTGCTGGGAACACCACTGTCTAAGCGCTGTCCACCACCTCACCGACCCCCCACCCCCGGGTCAGGAGACACCACCGTCTAAGTGCACCGGACTGGACAGAAGCTAGCAAGCACTGAAGAGATCAGAGTTCAGAAAGCAAGATAAGAACAAAACTAACAGCCCTCAAGCTCTTGGCAATGAAATGTGTCCAGTGTTCCCACTGACCACAATGTTTACACACTGAGAAGTAGCCAGAAGCCACTGGTGACGTCCACTCAGATGGCATGGCTGCTCCTCCAGGAAAGGGAGGGAAGGCCCGCGGCCTCTGGCCGGCCCTGCCTGTGAACGACACCAGCAAGCTCTGTCGTCTCTCTTTGCTCAGGCGGCGCGGCAGACCTCTGAGACACAACTCACCTTGCGTACCACCTCCTCCTCCTCCTGTCGCTTCTCATAGTGAGAAAAGTCATCGAAGATGGAGGTCGTGTGCCTGTAGGAAGCGATGATCTTCAGCACCTGCTTGGCCTTCTCCAGGGGCACCTCCTGTGTGTCTCGGGAGTTTGTGACCGGCTTGTGGTCGTTGTTCTCCAGCCTGATGTGCCGGAGCTGGCTATTGGGCACGTCCTTGACGAAAATCCACTTCACGTCGAACTTCCCCTTCCACTTGTCCTGAGACCAGACCCCTGCGCTGGTGCCGTAGTCCACGGCGGACTTCATCTCAGCCACCCCACAGAAATGCCCGCTCCCGTTGACACTGAAGAGCAGGTAGACGGGCCCCTTGCTGGCCACGGCGCGGAAGGCGCTGTCCAGGCGCTTGTTGCCATGCTCTGTGCTACACCAGATGGAGTACTTGATGGAGCGGTGGATGTCGTCCTCAGAATAGCTCTTGATGATGAACACTCGTCCACTCTTGAGATTCCAGTCAAACTCCTTAGGGTTATAGCTGTGGGCAGCCTTCAGTTTCTCAAGGACTGGGTGGGACTCCGCACTGGGGGCAGAGGTGGGCTGGGCATTCCCGGGAGAGCTGCCATCACTGCTGACGGCTCCGCTCTGCCCAAAGGCTGTGCTTCTGTTGCGAGGGGCACCCCAGCGGGCCTGGGGCGGCTGCTGAGGACTCTGATACTGTGGCTGGACCAGAGGGGGAGGCGGAGCTGGGAGAGCCTGGGCAGCCTGCTGGGGCTGTGGGGCAGCCTGGGGAGCCGGGGCCTGTTGGGGGGCTGGGGCCTTTGGCATGGGCCCCTTGTTATCCCAGGTGCCAATGTCCATGTTATGCTTGATTGGCGGGGGAGGCAGTGTGCCCCCCAGCACAGGCCCGCTCTTGGCTTTCATTTTAGGCTGTGGTTTTGCAGGCTTGCTGGCAATGGCCGCCCACGAGGTTGGCTTTGAAACTGGCAGGTTTACATTTGTTCCGCCATTTCCCGAAAGAACACCTGTCAGTGCTACGCTGCTGACAACCGAGCCCACTGTCTTGACTGCAGAGGTGGTAACGTCCCCGATCTTCAAGCCAACCATGCCCTGCTCTAGACTGTTCATCCCAGGGGCCTTGTTGAGGGTATCACTGTGAAATCCCGTCTGCCCATCAACCACCGTGCCGCCCAGGGAGCTGGGTGTCTGCCCATCAACCACCGTGCCGCCCAGGGAGCTGGGTGGGTAGGTGTAGCTGCTTCCATATGCTGAGCTCTGAGTTTGCTGCCCTTGAGAACCACTCGTTCCCCATGCTGAAAACGCAGGGTTTTCTGGGAAAAAGTTAAACCTGTGTTGATAGAGATTGTTCCCCAGCCCTCCAGGCTGCCCAAACACAGCATCATGCATGAAATGATGGTCTCCATTGCTAAGCTGTCCGTAGGTGGTGAGGTATGGGATCGGAGGGTCCCCTGCAGTAGACCATGGCGCCTCATTGAGGGAGTAAGGAAAGCCAATGGATGGTGGATAGTAGCTCGACAGGTAGGGGTCACTCATCGAGGGGTAACTGTTACTCTGTGGAAACAAACATGACAGGTTAGACTGGTGTCACACAGGAGGACACCACGCACACCAGGCCCCTCACAGAGGCCGAGCATAAACAATCCTGGCACCATGCAGAGCTGTTCCTTCCTAGAGAAAAGCCAAGTTTGCCAAACCTATAACAAAATCAAAACCCAAAGAAAGCAGTGACACTTACAAGACTCTGTACTTAGGTTGAACAACAGCTGAGCCACTACAGAACAGGATGAGCAGCTCTGACCTCGAGTGGAGCCAGCCATGCACCATCAACTCTCACAGCGACCACTATGGAGCAGCCACCAACGCAAACAGCTTGAAACACACCCAGGATGCACAGGGCCCAGAAGCTGCGGCTCACCATCAGCAGCACCCCAGGCTTGCCATACTGGCACCTCAGACTCATCTGCCAGAACTGCTTCCCCACACCTTTCACTGCTCCACCTCTGAGTCTGGCGCACCTGTCCCTCACGTGCCCAGTGTCTTCTGGGCACAATCCTGGACCGTCAGCGGGCCTGGCAGCAGAGCCCTGGGCCTTCCTGCCCTGGCTAAGAGCGAGCCTCTCAAGGGTGAACACTCCACTCTGACACAGTGGACCCTCATCTGGGCGGCGTTCCTGGGCTTCCCTGTCTGCACGACAGCAGACATCTTTCAAGGGGCTTTAAAGTGGCTGGACCACAGGCACCAACCACACCATGGTGGAGGAGGGAGGTCTTAGGAGCCATCTTAAGAGATCTCTGAGGGTGCTGTAATCCTAGTTAGGAAGCTGAGATCCGAGGATCGCAGTTCAAAGTCACCCTGGACAGCAAAGTCTGTGACACTCTTTATCTCCTCCAATTAACCAGAAAACCAGTAAGTGGCATTGTGGCTCAGAGTGGTAGAGTGCCAGCAACAGGGACAGCATCCAGGCCCCAAATTCAAGCCCCACAACTAACAGAAAGAGTCTCTGAGAAGGTTCTCCAGCAGCTGAGATGACGTCCCCCTGGTCAGAACTGGGCCCTGTCCCCCACACGTGCCTGAGGTGATGCAGGTGACTTCCTGTGCAGTGCCATGCTGTGCAGGGTGCTGAGGACGGGAGGGTGAGGCAAGGACCCCTCTCAGTGGACCATTTCAGAAAAACCTAACAAGTTCCCTGAAATAAAGCCTTTCAGGTTCTACAAATGAGACTCTACCAACACCCGATGCATTAAGAGAAACAGGTTTCAATGATTCTGGCTCCATTTTTTTGCAATCTTCCCTCACAGTCCCCCCGGGCAGCCTTCAAAGCAGCCTAATACATGGGAGGCCAGGTCAGCCGGGAAGGGCCGCTCTGTGACGCGTACCACAGAGGCTCACGCGTGCAGGGCCAAGCACGAGAGTCCTACCATTCAAAGCAGCCTAATGCACGGGCGGCCAGGTCAGCCGGGAAGGGCCGCTCTGTGACGTGTACCACAGAGGCTCATGCATGCAGGGCCAAACACAATAGTCCTACCATTCTCAGCAGCTACGCCACTTCAATACTCCAGGCCAAGGAAGAGAGAAGACGGTGGTGTGGCATTCTAGTCCACATGAAATGTTCCATAAAGATACAGAACTGGCCATAGAGTTGTAACTGGTCCACTAGATTCTCTACCATGCAACAAGTGGACGACAGCTGTTTCTCAACCTGTGCTGCCTATAAACATGACCTCGATAATTCAAGTTTAAGCACAACTTCAACCAGAGCCCCACACCGATCCTGGAATCCCTGATTCTTTAGGATCTGACTCTACAACTCTGTATGCCAGGCTGAGGCCCGTGCTACACCCTCCCCAGGAAGGGACCTGGCTCCCAGGCCCTGTGGAGCGCACAGGTCAGATGCTCTATGTGAACCAACAGTGTGTGTGGAACTACATTGGGGCTGCTTGTCAAGCTAGAGCACACCCACACCATGACTCTTTCTCTCGTAGAGAGGCTCAAGCTCAGTGCTCTGATAACCCATTCTAAGAGTGACCCAGTCCCTTCTTGGCTTTGGGGCTCAACAGAGCAGCAGTCTAAGATACCAATATGTGTGCTTGTTTACCAAGGGCATGGCTAAATAAAGCTAAACAAATTCAAAGCTTGCTCTTCACACAAAGCTTCCTCTTGAACTCCCTGAGTGAGTGCACTCAAGACCCCATCCTCACCCTCTTACTACTGGTGACACCATAGTCAACACGTTTCTTTTTGTGTGTGTGTGAGCCAGCACTAGGGCTTGAATTCATTGGCTTCACACTTGCTCAGCTTTCTTGCTCTCAGCTGGTACTCTACCACATAAGCCACACTTCAAAATCTGGCATTTTGCTTATTACTTCAAGATGGAGTATTTCAGACTCTTCTGCCTCAGCTGGTTTCAAACTGATATTCTCCAGGTCTTAGCTTCCTAAGTAGCTAGGATTACAGGCATTCATCACTGGTGCCTGGCTTCACATTCAAGACTTCTACTATAGCCCTGGGTACGACAAATACCACCTAGAGGGGGCTAACACAGCTTCTAAGCAAAGATCAAACCCCTGAAAAAAGAAGCTGTACCTTTGAACTTTTAAGCCCCTTTCCCACAAACCAGAAAACAGTAAGACACGTAAAGAAAAAAAATAAGAGCCGGGCACTGGTGGCTCACACCTGTAATTCTAGCTACTCAGGAGGCTGAGATCTGAGGACTGCAGTTCAAAGCCAGCCTGGGCAGAAAAGTCTGTAAGACTCGTGTCTCCAATAAACCAGAAAACCAGAAGTGATGCTGTTAGCGCTGTAGAGCCCTAACCTGGAGCTGAAAGGCTGAGGGACAGTGCCCAGGCCCAGAGTTTAAGTCCCAAGACAAAAAAAAAAGAAAAAGAAAATTTTAAAGTCAGCAGCCATTATCCTTAGATCATTTGGAATACAAATTACCAAACACACTGAACTCATAAACCTATTCTTGAATTAAAAGCAATTTTTCTGTAATTATTCAAGTTTAATTACCTTAAAAAACAAAAAAGGGAGGGAGAAGAGAGAAGAGGAAGGGAAGATAACCATTCTGAGTCACTAGGGCTATATAACCAGCAGGTGAAACTAACTTCCTCTACTCGTGTTTCTAAGAAGGAAACAATTCTGAGAGAATTCATCAGCGTGACCAAGAGACACTGGGTAAAGAGCAGAGACCCCTCCTGAGTCCAGCAGCACATCTTTGGAGTAGGCTGAGAAATGGAGATACCATCAAACCAAATCATGAGAGAGGAGAGCACCAAGGGCCATGCTGAAAAGTGACCAAGGCACAGGGGTATCCGGGAGCTGTTCACTGAGTCATTCACCAGGGTGGCTACACTGCAAAGGAAATGGCGTTTTAAAAAGCTCAAACACTAACTAAACGCTTACTCTGATAGCCGTTTTCACGTTTTCAAGGTTGATCCTCCTGAGGCTGCGGTTCTGGCCTCTCGGCTAGATGGTCAGTATGCAGACACAGCAGTTTCCAACAAAGAATTTCTGCCTCTTTCTCAGCAACTTGCCAATTAAGTAGGTAAAGACTCATTGCAGCTTCCAGCTATAGTGATGGCAGCAACTGTGTAGGCAAATCCCTCCAGGACACTACACTGGGCCTTCCTTTCACGTAAGCCCATGTTATTTAAGTGCAGTCGCAGAAGCTGATGTGAGACAGGTCCAGATGACAAGGTACACACTACTGACCCTGCAGGTTGTCTGCGCCATAAGAACTGCTTGTACATCAGTAATCCAAGGGCTGTGTTTCTACCAATTCTTCACATGAAACAGCCAATGCTGTTCATGCATGCAGGACACAGCATTATTTAGCTTAATTGTGTGCCCAAACTCTGACAGAAATCCTGGACAGCGGGGTAATAATAAGCACAATGCTCAAATCAGGCGATCAGCTCTCAAAGCCTGCCACTTTAAAGAGAAAGCATGACACAAATTCAACCACACAAGCTAGCAGCTGAGGAGAAAGCATGGACACACAAATTCAACCACACAAGCTAGCAGCTGAGGAGGAAGCATGGACACACAAATTCAACCACACAAGCTAGCAGCTGAGGAGGATGTATGTCAAGGACTGTTCAAGGAGATTCTAGACTCACTCAAAGAACACTTCAGTCTAGAGGCAGTAATGATGCCCAAATAACTCGTGATCAAACAGCCCAACAGTAAGATGCAAGGCAGGGATGCACAGCCCCACACAAAGGAGGCAGGACACACCACAGTCCCATACAAAGAAACAACAGGATGGGCATCTGCTGACGACAAGTTCTTCTTCACCTGGGCAAATTATGTTTTCCCAGCATGTCAAATGACTGCTCATAATAAAGTTCAGTCCTGCTGGGTACCAATGTCTAATGCTGGTAACAGGAGACTAGGATCTGGAGATCAAGGTTCAAAGTCAGCTTGGACAGTAAAGTCCATGAGAGCCAAGCACTGGAGGCTCATGCTTATAATCCTAGTGACTCAGGAGGCTGAGATCTGAGGATTATGGTTCAAAGCTAGCCTGGGCAAGAAAAGTCTATGAGTCTCTTACCTCCAATTAAACATCAAAAAGCTGTAAGTTGGAGCTGTGGCTCAAATGGTAGAGCACTAGCCTTGACCAAAGAAAGAGCTCAAGGACAGCCCTGAGTTCAAGCCTTAGTACTGCTCCATTGTGCACACATATATGATACTCTGTCTCCACTAAGCCAGCAAAAAGCTAGACTAGAGGTAAAGCACTATCTGAGCAAAACAGCAGAGCATGGCCTGACAACCAGTGGCTTATACCTGGAATCCTAGCTACTTAGGAGGCTGAGATCTGAGGATCACAGTTCAAAGCCAGCCCAGCCAGGGAGAAAAGTCCATGAGACTCATCTCCAATTAATCACCAAGAAAAAAAAACCCAAAAAACAGAAGCAGATCTGTGGCTCAAGTTGCATAGCCTCAGGGACAGTGCCCAGGCTCTAAGACCAAGCCTAGGACTGGCCAAAAAAAATCAGAGCATGAGGAGACCCTGAGTTCAAGGCCCCCGTATCAGCATCAAAACAAAAAGAAAGAAATTCAATACTCAGGTGACTTGATTAAATAAGCAAGGCTTCAGAAAAAATAAAAATTACCACCCATGGAAAAAAATCACTACCATGTACCTCACAATAGGAGCACGAGACTTTCCCTATAATACCTAGTACACAAGTGAATTATGAGAGCAAAAAGGTAAAAGCAGTTTGGTTTTCTTGCTTTCTGTTGACAACCAACACCCCATGCCCAGGTGTCCTTGGGATCACAGCATACAGCCAAGCTCATCAGATAAGGCCGGCCAGGGGTTAGCACCAACTGTTCCTAACTTAGTCACCGCTCAAAGGCAGGAGGACCTCCTCTTTAAGGTAAGCCATCCCTTGCTTCCCAGAGAACAGGAGGAACTGGGAAACTAGGAAGCCTGAAGCACCAAAGCCTTGAAAAAGAAAACAGGACAAGGATCCCCAACTCAAGAGTCATCTATTCTGTACCTCTCTACTTCATTTCCAGAAAGGTTTGTCAGCCCACCTCTCAATCAGGGCTCATGACGCTGCTCAGCAGCAACCAGGCACGTCAGATCCACAGCAGGGAGACAAGAGTCCCGTGAGGCCCCACACCACCAAAGCCCACCAAAAGTGACATTCACCCGATAGCACGCAGCAGGCCCCCAAAGATGTCCAAATCATTCTACGGATGCTTTCTGCACAGCGACTCCAGCTGACCAGACCTGGATTCAAAACAAGGGCTGTCACCTCCACAAGCATGCTGCATGGAGCCAAGTGACGGAATTCTAAACATTCGCAGCATCCCTGCAGCTGAAACACATTAACAGCTCACACATACGCACGCACAGGCATACACGTATACAGGAGTCGATGAGGTACGCTGCACACCAACCAGATTTTAACATTACTGTTACCAGCCACAAAATGCCCTTCTTCTGGCTGGACACCACAGCACAGCTCTGTTCTGAAAGTGCACTTTCCTAATAGGCAGCCTCCATCTGAAGGGTCCAAGACAACAAAATAACAACTCCCAGTGACCATAACTGAAACGAGAATTCCAGGCAAAAGGATAGACACCACTGTTCAGGACAGCAGGGCATGCATCTGCTGAACGATCCCAAGTTCCCTCTTCTACCTTGGAAAGCTGCAGTCTCAAGGATCTTGAGCTGCTTCATCTGTAAATACAAGTGAAGACTGAAGATTGTGTGCTTCCCATCTCTTTGCTATTTTGGAAAATCTTCTATCAGTCACGGAGAGAACAGACTGACTCTTAAGTAATGTGCTGATTAATCACCTTGCTAAAAAGTACACACTGTAACCTAATGAACACAAAGAGGCTACTCATGTCTTTTTTCTATGGCTTCTCCAAGAGAGAAACAACCATGGCCATTACTGATAACAGAAAATAATCTGTCCCATTTTAAGAACACCAGCACTCCCCCTTATGAAAATACAATCCATGTGTTGTGAAGTAACCTCCTTCTCATCACTTTGATTACAATTTGGTACACGATACTGCCCTAAGAAAAGAAATAAGATATTAAAAAAATAAACTTAACTTCTTGCCATTACCTTGGTCAAAAGTCTGTGGCTGAGGACAGGTGGGTTGGACAACGCCCCATCCTGCCTGGAGGAACAGATTCTCAGGGGCAACCAAGCCGCGGGGACGGATCCAGGACCCCGCCCACACTTGGTTTCTAGGCTCCTGAGCAGCTAATAGGAAGAAGTATAGAGAAGAGTACTAAGGTCTAAAATCTTTTGAAAAGGGCAGTTGACAAAACAAAACCAAAACCAAGTCAAGGCCTTTTTTCAGTCTAACACAGGGATAAGTCAAAGTCTCGCTTCATGCTAAAGTAAATATGTACAATACATTTTAAAGCAGCAGATATATGGTTAAACCTGCATTCCATGGTTTTAAACCAGGGTAATTCTGTCCCCAAGAGACATCTGCAGTATCACAACACAGGTGGGAATGGCTGAGGTTGGGATAAGTGCTCATGAAATCTAGCGAACAGAAGCGAAGGAAAGCCAGTGGCCGGTGGCTCACACTTGTATTCCCAGCTACTAAGGAGGCTGAGATCTGAGGATCATAGTTCAAAGCTAGCCCAGGCAGGAAAGTTTACAAGATTCCTATCTGCAATTAAACACCAGAAAACTGAAAGTGGAGCTGTGGCTCTGAGTGGTAGGGTAGTGTGCTAGCCTTGAGCAGAAGAGCTCAGGGACTCAGGGAAGTCCCGAGGCCCTGAGTTCAAGGCCCATGAATGAACCCCCCCCAAAAAAAAAAAGTGAAGGAGGATGCTAAACATTCTACAGTGTACGGAGTAGCCAAAACAATGTCCAAAATGTCCACAAGGCCAAGGCTGTGAAACCTTGAACTACCAGAAGATTCAAGTTGTTTACCTGATCTAGTCCCACAGTTCTAACCCTCCAGAACCAAATGCAACAGGCCAGAAAACCTTAGAGGACTAAGCACACCTGTCCTCTGTAGAAGCAACATCACTGACCCACAAAGAATGGGAATCACCAAGACTCTGCCTTCATCCTGGTGCCTAAGAGTGTGCCTTCTTCAGGGAGAAAACTAACTGCATCACACTCACGCCTAGGCCAAACAGGAAGAAGTGCTCGAAGCAAGTCCTCAAGGCCATTCTATCATTTCTAATACTTTCTGGCCAGTTTTTTCCTTGTTAAGGTTTAATAAACCAGGAATATAACAGTAAAGGTGTGTTACAGTTAAAGCTAGTTTGTTTTTTTGGCCAGTCCTAGGGCTTGAACTCAGGGCCTGGGCACTGTCCCTGAGCTTCTGTTGCTCAAGGCTAGCACTGTACCACTTGAGCCACAGCACCATTTCTGGCTTTTTCTGTGTATGTGGTACTGAGGAATCGAACCCTGGGCTTCATGCATGCTAGGTAAGCACTCTACCACTAAGCCACATTCCCAGCCCCTAAATCTTAAAATTAAAATATGCTAACAAATCAAACTCACCGGATTGGACTGTCCAGAAAGGTAGGGCTCAAAGTCATTGTCATGTACTGTATCCTTCTGATGCAAAGAACCATTTTGTACTAGAACAAGAAGTTGCAAAATATTATCAAGTTTTAAAAGATTAGTTTCAAGCATGGAAATTAGTCCATTTTCATCAATTTCTAGCATAAATTATGACTATTTTAAAATGGGCATAATCCACTGAGATGATGCTTACATACCTAGTTACGATAGTAATGCAGAACTTTGAGTAGTTTAAGTTACACTCTTAAAAAAGACAATCATAACTTGGTAGGAGGTTGACAAAAATAGGGGCAAACAAAGTAACTGGCAAGAATAAGGTTTTGTGATTTGTTGTGTGCTGGGATGGAACTCGGGCTCCCACGGGCCAGGCAACAGGTTTACCACAGCCCTATCTCCAGCCCATGAAACAGGGTCTCAGCTCTGGACAAGGTCTCAGAAGATCTCTATTAGGCAAACAGGATGGAGGGGAGAAGCACTGAAACTAGGGGGTGCTCAGCTGGGACGGGCTGTGAACCAAGTTCACCTGGATCTGCTCTCCACTAAATTTCTGCTGCTCGAAAGCTCGGCCAGAAAATGAAAGGAAGGGGAAAGAACGGCAAGGCAGGCGCTGGGCCTTTTCCAATCGTAAAACACGATGAACCATATTTGGTTACAGTAACACACACACTGGCTAAAAAGTCTTCCAAGAAAGCAAGAAGTGTCTTAGGTTTTCCCAAGAGTGAGTGCGGGAGTCTGTCCCAAACTAGAAAAACAAAGGAAATGACCACAGACTCGGCTGTAAGTGCGGCAGCCGGCCGGTTCCCCCGAACCGACCCCCAGTGGGCAGCAGAGGGCCGGCGCTCGGCCGCCGGCCTCCGGGCCGCACTCTGGCGGGCGCGGCTTCTTCCACCTCCTCCTCGTCCTCCCTACGCTCGGCCACCTGGCCGGCACTGGAACCGCAGCAGAGAACTTCTTGCAGAGTCTGGACCTGCCGCGCACATTTTCACCTCCTCGCAGCCGGAGGGGGAAACTTAGGTTTCCGGTTCCAGGCCCGGCCCGCGGACGTGCTCTCGCCCGAGCGGGCGGGCGCGGCCCCGACGGCGCGGCCCGCACGGCCATCCCGGAACTCGGCTCACCTTTATTATCTTGTCCTTTTGTTCTCTGCGTCGCCGCAGGCCGGGACGTGCGGGCGGACGCAACCCAGCCCGGGAAAGGAAAGACAGAGTT